GAGGTTGCCGCGCTCGCGGCCGAGGAAGGTGTTCTCGCGGCCGATCTCGGCGTTGAGGTCGACGATCAGCCGGTCGATCTGCTGCATCGAGCGCCGGGTCTCGGCCTCGATGGCGCGCAGGTTGCGATGATCCTCGTCGACGGCGCCGCCGACCCGGTAGGTCGCGCGCACGTTCTCGAGCAGGTAGCCCGCCACCGACGCCTGGGTGGTCACCTGGCTGGCCAGCGAGTTCAGCGTGCCGACGCCGATCGTCAGGGCGTCGAGCTTGCCCTGCGCGGCGTTCCACTGGTTCACGAGATCGGGATTGCCCGGCGTCGTGCCGGCCTGCAGGCGCGAATTGATGCCGCTCACCAGGCCCGAATAGGACCGCGCGTCGCCGGCCAGTTGACCGCGGGTGGCGTTGAACTGCGCCTGCTGCGCGGCGATGCCGTTGCTGAGCGCGGCCTGGTCGCTGCGCAGCTGTTCGATGCTCTTGCGAACCGTCAGCGTGCCAGTCTGGGTGACGGTGGGGTTGGCGTTCGACGGAGGCGGGCTGCCGGCGGGCGCAAAGACGTTTGCCTGATCGCAACCGCCTAGAACGATCATCGCCAGGAGAAGCGCGGACCGTTGAACACTTAGCGCCATCTTCGGCCTCGAACCTGCCCCGGTATAATCGATCAGGTGCTCCGATCCGGCGCCCGGCTGCAGGCCGTGCCGAGCCGGGGCACGTGCCCCCAAATCCAGATGGCAGTCATGCTATCTGAAAGCAAGCAAAACCGACAAGGCCGGATTCCGGAGGCGCCAGAACGACTTGGCGTCCACTCGGCGTCCGCGCCGGGCCCCGATTTCGGGCTCCCGAATCGGCCGGCATGGGGCGCCGCGTCGCAGCTCCCGATTCCTGTCGTACCCGGCTTGCAACGCCGGACCAGTTTCATTAGGTTGCGCCCTTCTTCGCCGGACCCCTTCGGGGCTCGGCCGTGCGCCCGTAGCTCAACTGGATAGAGCATCTGACTACGAATCAGAAGGCTGGAGGTTCGACTCCTTCCGGGCGCGCCATTTCTCCTCAGCCATTTGTTGCAAGCGGGCCAACGTTCGGCCCGCTTTTTCATTCGTTCACAGGCGAGAGCGGACCGGGCACGGCGTCTAACGACACCGTCCAACGGGAATTGTCGTTAGCCTCAGCCTAGCGCCCGACGATGAAATTGCGCGGCGCCCTGGCCGGATCGTTCGTGAACGGCGCCCAAGGAATGCCATGCATCCAATCGCAGATGCAGGTGTGGCGGCCGATGAACTCGATGTTTGTGAGGTCCGTGCGCTCGCCTTCTTCCTCAAGTGCTTTTCGATTGGCGGCGCTGACATGACACGG